CAGCTTTGACTAGGCTCTGACCGGCTTGGACAAGCTATGACCAGTTTTTGGACCAGTGGCCTTTGGTGGACACACTCGGATCTCCCACGTTAAACGACCTTGTGTCACATCTTGATTTAGTGGAGTCAAGTAAACACCAGAATTCGCCCGCCGGCGTTATGCTGGGTGGTTTGACAAATATTGATCATTTCTTGGCCTATGGCTGAGATTCGATCAAGGCTTCGAGTAGCTTGACTGGCTCCGGCCGGGACTTGCTGGGGACAAGTCATAACCAGCTTTGACTAGGCTCTGACCAGCTTGGACAATCTATGACCAGTTTTGGACCAGAGGCCTTTGAGTGGAAACACTCGGGTCTCCCACGTTAAACGACCTTGTGTCACATCTTGATTTAGTGGGAGTCAAGTAAATACCAGAATTCGCCCGCCGGCGTTATGCTGGGTGGTTTGACAAATATTGGATTGTTTCTCGGCCTATGGCTGTGATTCAATCAAGGCTTCGAATAGCTTCGCCTGGCTCCGGCCGGGACTTCCTAGGACAAGTCATGATCAGCTTGACTAGGCTCTGACCAGCTTGGACAAGCTATGACCAGTTTTGGACCAGTGGCCTTTGAGTGGAAACACGCGGGTCTCCCACGTTAAACGACTTTGTGTCACAACTTGATTTAGTGGGTGTCAAGTAAATACCAGAATTCGCCCGCCGGCGTTATGCTGGGGGGTTTGACAAATATTGGATCGTTTCTTGGCCTATGGCTGAGATTCGATCAAGGCTTCGACTAGTTTGGACTGGCTCCGGCCGGGACTTGCTAGGACAAGTCATGACCAGCTTTGACTAGGCTCTGACCGGCTTGGACAAGCTATGACCAGTTTTGGACCAGTGGCCTTTGAGTGGAAACCCTCGGATCTCCCATGTTAAACGACCTTGTGTCACATCTTGATTTAGTGGGAGTCAAGTAAATACCAGAATTCGCCCGCCGGCGTTATGCTGGGTGGTTTGACAAATATTGGATCGTTTCTTGGCCTATGGCTGAGATTCGATCAAGGCTTCGACTAGCTTGGACCGGCTCCGACCGGGACTTGCTAGTACAAGTCATGACCAGCTTTGACTAGGCTCTGACCAGCTTGGACAAGCTATGACCAGTTTTGGACCAGTGGCCTTTGAGTGGAAACACTCGGGTCTCCCACGTTAAACAACCTTGTGTCACATCTTGACTTAGTGGATAGTCAAGTAAATACCAGAATTCGCCCGCCGGGGTTATGCTGGGGGTTTGACAAATATTGGATCGTTTCTCGGCCTATGGCTGAGATTCGATCAAGGCTTCGAATAGCTTGGACTGGTTCCGGCTAGGACAAGTCATGACTTGACTAGGGACACCAGTCATGACCAGTTTTGGACTGGCCTTCTGACCCTCGGGTCTCCCCACGTTAAACGACAATTTAGTTATGACCAGAATTTTGCGCTGGGGGTTTGACCAGTGGCCTTTGGCTGAGAACAGGCTTCGACTAGTTTGGACTGGCTCCGGCCGGACGTTAAACGACTTTTTTGACCGGTTTGGACAACAACTGGATTTAGTGGGAGTGGACACACTCGGATCTCCCACGTTAAAATACTTGACTTAGTGGAGTCAAGTAAACACCAGAATTCGCCCGCCGGCGTTATGCTGGGGTTTGACAAATATTGATCGTTTCTTGGCCTATGGCTGAGATTCGATCAAGGCTTCGACTAGTTTGGACTGGCTCCGGCCGGGACTTGCTAGGACAAGTCATGACCAGCTTTGACTAGGCTCTGACCGGCTTGGACAATCTATGACCAGTTTTGGACCAGTGGCCTTTGAGTGGAAACACCCGGGTCTCCCACGTTAAACGACCTTGTGTCACATCTTGATTTAGTGGGAGTCAAGTAAATACCAGAATTCGCCCGCCGGCGTTATGCTGGGTGGTTTGACAAATATTGATTGTTTCTTGGCCTATGGCTGAGATTCGATCAAGGCTTGAATAGCTTGACTGGCTTGGTTTGGATCAGCTTGACTAGGCTCTGACCAATTTGACAAGCATGACCAGTTTTGGACCAGTGGCCTTTGAGTGGAAACACGCGGGTCTCCCACGGACTTGATTTATGAACCAGTTTTGGGGGTTTGACAAATATTGGATCGTTTCTTGGCCCATGGCTGAGATTCGACCAGGCTTGGCCTAGTTTGACTGGCTCCGCCGGGACTTGTTAGGGACAAGGCTCTGACTAGGCTTGGACAAGCTATGACCAGTTTTGGACCAGTGGCCTTTGAGTGGAAACCCTCGGATCTCCCATGTTAAAACGACCTTGTGTCACATCTTGATTTAGTGGGAGTCAAGTAAATACCAGAATTCGCCCGCCGGCGTTATGCTGGGGGTTTGATAAATATTGGATCGTTTCTTGGCCTATATGGCTGAGATTCGATCAAGGCTTCGACTAGCTTGGACTGGCTCCGACCGGGACTTGCTAGTACAAGTCATGACCAGCTTTGACTAGGCTCTGACCAGCTTGGACAAGCTATGACCAGTTTTGGACCAGTGGCCTTTGAGTGGAAACACTCGGGTCTCCCACGTTAAACAACCTTGTGTCACATCTTGACTTAGTGATAGTCAAGTAAATACCAGAATTCGCCCGCCGGGGTTATGCTGGGGGGTTTGACAAATATTGGATCGTTTCTCGGCCTATGGCTGAGATTCGATCAAGGCTTCGAATAGCTTGGACTGGCTCCGGCCGGGACTTGCTAGGACAAGTCATGATCAGCTTGACTAGGCTCTGACCAGCTTGGACAAGCTATGACCAGTTTTGGACCAGTGGCCTTGAGTGGAAAACTCGGGTCTCCCCACGTTAAACGACTTTTTGTCACAACTTGATTTAGTGGGAGTCAAGTAAATACCAGAATTCGCCCGCCGGCGTTATGCTGATGGGGTTTGACAAATATTGGATCGTTTCTTGGCCTATGGCTGAGATTCGATCAAGGCTTCGACTAGTTTGGACTGGCTCCGCCGGGACTTGCTAGGACAAGTCATGACCAGCTTTGACTAGGCTCTGACCGGCTTGGACAAGCTATGACCAGTTTTGGACCAGTGGCCTTTGGTTGGAAACACTCGGATCTCCCACGTTAAACGGCCTTGTGTCACATCTTGACTTAGTGGGAGTCAAGTAAATACCAGAATACGCCCGCCGGCGTTATGCTGGAGTGGTTTTGACAATATTGATCATTTCTTGGCCTATGGCTGAGATTCGATCAAGGCTTCGACTAGCTTGGACTGGCTCCGGCCGGGACCTGCTAGTACACAAGTCATGACCAGCTTTGACTAGGCTCTGACCAGCTTGGACAAGCTATGACCAGTTTTGGACCAGTGGCCTTTGTGTGGAAACACTCGGATCTCCCACGTTAAACGACCTTGTGTCACATCTTGACTTAGTGATAGTGAAGTAAATACCAGAATTCGCCCGCCGGGGTTATGCTGGGGGGTTTGACAAATATTGGATCGTTTCTCGGCCTATGGCTGAGATTCGATCAAGGCTTCGAATAGCTTCGCCTGGCTCCGGCCGGGACTTCCTAGGAGAAGTCATGATCAGCTTGACTAGGCTCTGACCAGCTTGGACAAGCTATGACCAGTTTTGGACCAGTGGCCTTTGAGTGGAAACACTCGGGTCTCCCACGTTAAACAACCTTGTGTCACATCTTGACTTAGTGATAGTCAAGTAAATACCAGAATTCGCCCGCCGGCGTTATGCTGGGGGGGTTGACAAATATTGGATCGTTTCTTGGCCTATGGCTGAGATTCGATCAAGGCTTCGACTAGTTTGGACTGGCTCCGGCCGGGACTTGCTAGGACAAGTCATGACCAGCTTTGACTAGGCTCTGACCGGCTTGGACAAGCTATGACCAGTTTTGGACCAGTGGCCTTTGAGTGGACACACTCGGATCTCCCACGTTAAACGGCCTTGTGTCACATCTTGACTTAGTGGGAGTCAAGTAAATACCAGAATTCGGCCGCCGGCGTTATGCTGGGTGGTTTGACAATATTGGATCATTTCTTGGCCTATGGCTGAGATTCGATCAAGGCTTCGACTAGCTTGGACTGGCTCCGGCCGGGACTTGCTAGGACAAGTCATAACCAGCTTTGACTAGGCTCTGACCAGCTTGGACAATCTATGACCAGTTTTGGACCAGTGGCCTTTGAGTGGAAACACTCGGGTCTCCCACGTTCAACGACCTTGTGTCACATCTTGACTTAGTGGGAGTCAAGTAAATACCAGAATTCGCCCGCCGGCGTTATGCTGTGGGGTTTGACAAATATTGGATCGTTTCTTGGCCTATGGCTGAGATTCGATCAAGGCTTCGACTAGCTTGGACCAGCTCCGACCGGGACTTGCTAGTACAAGTCATGACCAGCTTTGACTAGGCTCTGACCAGCTTGGACAAGCTATGACCAGTTTTGAACCAGTGGCCTTTGGAGTGGAAACACTCGGATCTCCCACGTTAAACGACCTTGTGTCACATCTTGACTTAGTGGGAGTCGAGTAAATACCAGATCTCTCCCGGCGGATTTTTGGCCTCGGGGTTGAGCGACGAGCTCCTCCTCTCACCTTCGCTGACCACACGAATCAGCCAGAGCCAGAGCCAGAAGAAGCAGCAGCAGCCGGCCGACCCAGCTCCAAGCAGCAGAGCAGCCCAGCATCAACCAGCAGCAGCAGCCGGCCAACAGCTTCAAGCAGCAGCAGCAGCAGCCGGCCAACAGCTTCAAGCAGCAGCAGCAGCCAGCCAACCAGCTTCAAGCAGCAGTAGCCGGCCGACCAGCTTCAAGCAGCAGCAGCCGGTTATATGATAAGCACTAGTCTATACTCGGCTACATGATATGCACTAGCCTACCCTCGGTTACATGATATACACTAGACTTTTTTCCGGACTACGCCTGGTTACATAATATGCAATAGTCCTTTTCAGGACTAACCTAGCCGCGTTATTGCGAATGTCCTTTTATTAGAACTACCAAGCTGCGATCCTGCACGACAGTCTACCCAAGGACGAACTGACTACACCAGCGCTGTCCGCGTCGATCCTCTCTTTCCTCAAGCGCCGACGCGCTCTTTACACAAGTACAGACATCCAGGGATCGACTAGTCCTCGAACACCGCTGTTCCATCGGCCTACCTCCAATCTGTCGCATTGAAACCTGACAACGCTCCTTCAATCTACACGACCGAACTACTACGAACGATCATCTGTATATACTTGTGCCAGATTATTTAATAAAATTTGGCTTAAACCTTTACATCCTCGTCTTTGTTGTCCTTGCTTCGATCGTATTACCCTATATTATTTTTCTGCTTGCGGTGTTAACAGGCACCCTGCTCCGCTGACCGCAACAAGTGGTGACCCCGATATTTACGATCGAGCAAGATGGCAACAGACGAGTGCGAACAGAACACTCCCATAAATGTAGCAACCTCTCTCCGTACAACGAACAGAACACCAAGAACTGCTTTCTGCAATTGGAAGCCATTTTCTCAGTTCGGAGAATAACGTCAGAGCAATCAAAATTCGCCAACGTCGTACAAGCTTTGCCACCTTCAGTGGTCGACGAAGTAGCCGACATTTTAGAACATGTACCCGAGCAGGAGCCATATACTCGCCTCAAGGATGCGATTTTAAAACGAACCGGCCGTTCGGACGAGGAACTGCTCCGGGAACTTTTTACCCACGTCACCAGGGGCGACAGAACACCCTCACAGCTCCTACGCTTCATGAGTAGCCGACTGGGAAAACATTCAATGCCCGAATCGATCTTGCGCGAACTGCGGATGGACAAGTTACCCACTACAATAACGCAGATATTGGCACCAATCGCTGACAATACTCCACTAGACCAGTTAGCAAACTCCGCTGACCGCATCGCAACTAAACTGGACCAAGGAGTGTGTGCCGTGCAGCGCCCAGACGACCCACCAGCCAAAGACACAGATCTGGAAAAGGCAGTATCTACCCTGCAACATCAGCTGCAGGATATACGAATGATCCTTTCCCGCAAATCGAGAAGCCAGATGCCGGCAACCGGTGGTTGGCGACGGAGAGCACGGAGTACCAGCAGGAATCGACGAGTCGACCCGGAATTATGCTGGTACCATCACAGATTCGGCACCAGGGCAAGGAATTGCTCGGCACCCTGCAAATACAGCTCCAAAACTAAGTCGTAAAACTAAACAACCGGCGGGTAGGAGCGGCAGAACCCCCCGGCAAAAACATACGAAGCCGCCTTTTCTACGTATGGGACCGACGGAACCACATAAAGTTTTTAGTGGACACAGGAGCAGCAATCAGCGTGATACCCCCCAAAGATCAGCAAGACCGAAAGGCGAACCCGTATAAGCTCCAGGCAGCAAACGGTTCGACGATCGAGACATATGGAACCAAGACACTGACTCTTAACATCGGCATGCGGCGTGACTTTACCTGGACTTTCACCCAGGCAGACGTAAAAACGCCAGTACTCGGGGCAGATTTCCTGGCCCGTTATGATCTAGCCGTGCACATGAATACGAGGACTTTATCAGACAACACCACGAACATTGCTGTTAAAGGCAACCTCTCTCGACACAACACCACTGGAATCAGTGTAACAACTTGCCACGGACGAGAATACATCGAGATCCTAAATAGATACCCGGACCTCATTCAACTACTCGCGGGTATCGGTCCGGCAAAACACCAAACACAGCATCACATAAAGACCAGTGGACAGCCAACATTTTCCCACCCACGACGACTTCCTCCTCATAAACTTGAATACGCCCAAAAGGAATTCAACAATATGCTGAAGGACGGATTCATACGACCCTCCGATAAGCCCATACGCCTCACCCCTACATCTCGTACCTAAACCGGGAAGCACAGACTTTAGGGTATGCGTCGATTATAGAAGATTGAACGCCACAACCATACCCCATCGCTATCCAGTCCCGCACATACACGATTTTGCCTCAGGGTTGCAGGGCACTCGCGTCTTTTCAAAAATAGACCTAACTAAGGCTTACCACCAGATCCCCATAGCTCCGGAGGACATCCCAAAGACCGCTGTAACCACTCCCTTTGGTCTCTTCGAATACCTCAAGATGCCCCTTGGCCTGAGGAATGCAGCACAAACGTTTCAACGCTTCATAGATGAGGTACTGCACGGCCTAACGTACGCATATGCCTACATCGATGACATACTAGTAGCCAGCACAAATGAGAATACACACAGGCAACACCTAAACGAAATGTTCCAAAGGATAGCACAGTATGGGCTCCGGCTGAACATCGACAAATGCACTTTCGGGGCATCTGAGGTGAATTTCTTAGGTCATCATATCGACAAAGATGGTATCACACCTTTACCCGAGAAAATCGACGCAATTAAAAATTTCCCTACGCCTACATCCACAAAACAAATCAGACGATTTATCGGTATGATAAATTTTTACCGCAGGTTCATCCCCGACTGCTCGACAATTCTCTCCCCGTTGACAAACCTAATAGAGCGGAAGAATAAACAAATTACGCTAGAGGGAGATACCTTGCGGGCTTTCGAAACGGCAAAGACAGCGCTGATAAGCTTCACAAAACTCTCATTCATCGAAAACGACCCGGAAACAAGAATTTTCCTTACAACAGACGCTTCCGACGTTGGAATAGGAGCAGTAGTGGAGCAGCAAGTGAACATGACGAGACAGCCGATAGCCTTCTTCTCAGCTAAACTCTCTGCAGCCCAGAGAAGATACAGCACCTCACGAGAACTCCTGGCGATCTACCTGTCCATACGTCATTTTCGACATCTTCTGGAAGGCAGACATTTCACTATCTTCACGGATCATAAACCACTGATCAACGCGATGAATGTCAGCGCAGACAAATATACATCCCGTGAAACACGTCACCTCGACTACATCTCACAGTTTACGACGGAGATCAGACACGTCCAAGGAAAGAACAACACCGTCGCAGACGCATTGTCCAGAACAGACGTCAATACCATGGATAACGACGTTTGGAGCCAGGAGCCGACAAACAAAAAGACGATACGACGATGCCTGACATCATTAAGGAGACTTCTTTGAAACTGCAGGAATTCCCGTGTCCGTTCAGCGATAAAACTCGTTTCTGTGACACCGCACTGGGTACTCCGAGACCGTACATTCCTCCATCTCTTAGAAAAAAAGTATTTCTCCATCTCCATAATCTATCCCATCCGAGCAAGCGAGCAACCGTCAAGCTTATCGCCGATCGATTTGTGTGGCCCAACATGAATTCAGACATCAGGAATTGGGTCTCAACCTGCATACAATGTCAAAAATGCAAAATTCAGAGGCACACAAAATCACCAGTTGGAACATTCGCCACACCCGACGCACGTTTCAGCCACATCCACGTTGACCTCGTCGGGCCTCTACCAATGTGTCAGGGGTACCAATACCTTCTAACAATCATAGACCGTTTTTCGAGATGGCCAGTCGCTGTGCCGATTAAGGACATTTCCGCTACCACAGTTTCTAAAGCCATTCTCACCAACTGGATTACAAACTTTGGCGTACCACAAGTTCTCACTACAGATCGGGGACCACAATTTCAGTCCTCGCTTTTCCGAGAATTCTCTCAACTTTTGGGTGTCAGATACATTAAAAAAACGGCTTACCATGCTTGCGCAAACGGCCTCGTGGAGAGATTTCACCGATCCTTAAAGACGTCCCTGTCAACCAAACTCGGCATACACAACTGGGTCGACAACCTCCCCATGACCATGCTCTCTTTGCGGAATACACTCAAAACTGATTTAGGTTGTTCGACAGCGGAGCTCGTGTTTGGCACGCCTCTCTCCTTACCAGGACAATATTTTCACCTTCCACAGTACTCTTGCACAACCTCGCCAAGTTCTTTCGTGCAAGATCTGCGCCACAAAATGGACAAACTTACATACACTCCCCCACGACAACAAACCACAAGCTCCTACTTACCACATAAATTGGATACCTGCGATTTTGTTTTTGTTAGGAACGACGCCGTAAAAAATCTCTCACACCTAGCTACCAAGGCCCTTTTAAAGTTCTGAAGCGTTCTAAGAAATTTGTCACGACCATGCGCGGCAAAGACAAAGATACAGTCTCCATCGACCGACTTAAACCAGCTTGGTTAAAGGAAACTTCTCCCGAGCCAGACTTACCAACAACGACGGAAGATGAAACAACAACACTAGTCGTACGAACAAAATCAGGCAGAAGAGTTCATTTTCCTGCCAAATTAAAGACATACATCTTTTTTGTGAATTGATCACGATCAATCCTCTAGGAAGGGGGCCTTATCGCACCCGGCCGGAAGTTACTGCCCGCTACGCAAACATCTAAAAGCGTCACCGCGGAAAACATAACGAATGCCGTTAACTTCCGGTGACTCAGCGTTTTTCAGTCAACGACTCACACAAACTCAAAATACATGGTGTCCGAATGGAACCCATGTGTACAGCCAAAAAGTAGAAGGTAATTTTCAGTCATCACCCCAAAGATATCGCTAACAGGATACGTTGCCGACCTCAGCCTATATATAAACACAGCCGATTGTGGATTATTGTTTTGACTCGTTGAAGTTTATGCGCCCAACGACCAGATGGAACATGTTTCGTTCTTCCGTCAGTTGAGGCAGTTCCTGGTGGATCCCGCGCGCCTAGTTTTAATGGGGGACTGGAATGTCATCATGGATTCAAAGTTAAATAGAGTACGAGGAACTAGCGGGAGTTTGAGTGATCGCAGCCTGATCGATCTGATCAACAATAGCAGCAAGTCGATTACACGGGGTGGTAGGTGTGGATGTGGGCTTTTAAGTGGCCGTCTCCCCAGGTAGACAGCTACCTGTATAGAATATTAGTGAGAAGGGTAATTAGACAAAGGTTAAAAAAAAAGTCAAACGAAGCCATGGACATTGGCGTAGTGCTCGCTTGTCGAGATTCCGATCGTTATATTTGACAGGTCGACATCCCGGATGGGCGTACCTTGTGCTGGACCAACGACATGTACAAGGCGTTTCGTTAACATTTCCTGACCAAGGAGCCTGGATTCTGTGACGAAGATTTTCACAACTATTTGACCGACTTTCCTCGACTCTCCCCAATTGATGCGGCAGGTTGCTAGGAGGTGATCACAGAAGGCGAAGTCCACGAGGCATTGAAGAAAGTCGATAGTGGCAAGTTTCCGGTAATTGATGGTCTGTCTTACGATTTGTACTTGAGGCTATCGCCCATGTTTGTTCTGATTTTGCAATTGTGTTCCGGCAGGGTTCTAGCCCTGACCGGATTTCCAGGGGCCTGATCACGCTGTTGAAAAAGGACAACCATATTGGGCGGGATTTAGACGCTTATAGGCCCATAACTCTGCTAAACACAGTTAAATATTTTGGCTAACATCCTGACGGAGCATTTTTAGTTCATTTCCGAGATTCTGTTAGGACCGGAGCAGACTTATGCTGTGAAGGGTCAGACAGTTCATAGCAACATGCATCTGTGACACTATTTAGTTATGATAATTTATTAACTAATTAAACATAAAATTAAACAAGAAAATACTGAGAACAGAAAAGAAGATACCCTGAGATTTTATTTTTATTTTAAAAAAAGTTACTTTTCTCAAGAACCCGAGAATTTGCGTAAACAGTGGAATCACAAAAGGCCATATGGCAAGCTTTTGATAATTGATTTATGATAATTGTAAAGAAAACACAAAATAAAAAAAAGCGTCTAAGATATCATTCAAATCGCAAGATTTTAGAAGTCGGCCAAGCGACAAAGCCATGAGTTAATTGTAAGAATATTTGGCATAGGAAGATGTTCCGAGAGATACGCGTTCAATATGGAAAGATTTTTTTTTTTACTTTCCCAAGAAACCTAGGATTGGCGTGAACGGTAAATTCATAAAAAGCCCTGTGACGAGATTTGACAATTGATTAATGGCCGTTAAAAATACTGATTAAGAAAATACGAATGTCGGAAGTTTGCCAAGCCACGAGGCCATGTGTTATTTGTAAGATGGAAAAGGGAATTTCATAAACAACGTTGATAATTCTGAATTCAGCAATCCTGATTAAACAGGGATGTCAAAGGGTTAATTAATGAAGCAAGCTTAGCCACACCCGCACGACAGAGACGCCATTGGTCGAATGGTAGCAATGGTGATAG